GTGTGTGTGTGTGTGTGTTACACTAGCTGTTTCAGGCACTCAATACTACAAACAAAATAAAGAAAACACTAGAAAAAACATAAATATATTTATTTTTTTGAAGCATGCTTAAAACTCCAGTACAGCCAACAAAAGGAGCTGAGCATTACACAGTGAAAAGGAAATATAACTTATATTCTCTGGCAGCTGTCAGTTTGTAAGTAGTAAAAATTGGTCCTTGGATAACGCACAAAGGGAAAAATAAAAATAAGCAGTCTCATCAAACCAGCTGAATATGTTTCACTGTCTCTTAGCTTATCAGGTTCATTTAAAGCACTTCCAGTCCGGAGAGTAACACCCTTTAACAACTGAAAATCTCTGCTGTGTGTTAAAAAAATAAAAGACACAGGACAAAGCGGGGTGAGAAGTATAACAGCTCACCAAGCTACATATTATGAATACTCCCACAATCTGCTTCAGCCAATCCACATTCTGTCAGTGCACAAGCAGACTGGGCTTTTTGTAAACATCAACTATTTAGTTTTACTTTTGTTGGCATTACACAGGGTGTGCCGCGGTGAACAAGATGCAGCGCCTTCACTGTTTCTTAGCAATGAGAACCCCGACCACAGCTCCCATTAGCAGCGCCACCCCGACTAGCAGCCATCTACTAAGAGTCTCCCGAGATCTCCTCGCTTCTGCGGCGGCGTCTCGCCCAAAAACCTCAGCAAAGCAGTCCTGGAAACAGAAATGGGTTCAAGACACACACAAAAACACGAGAGATTTTGTTATTAGACATTGTCTTGGTTCGTTCCATCCACATTAAAAGAAGAAATCTTCAGTTGTGGTCAAAAATATTGGCACTTTTGCCCCTTTGCACAAAAATGTACGTATTCATATCCCTTAAAAAAAAAAGTCAAATATGTGTGGTTTCCTACAAAACTGCAACATATCAGATAATCATTCTGCACGAGTGCAATGATTGTCTTCAGTCTGTGTGGAACATGTGCTGTTAGTATTAACTTTTAAATATATCTTTACCTACTTTAGATTAATATTTAATATGTATGTTTCTAGTAAGTAAATACAGTATATGGGTATCTATGTATGTATATACTGTATGTGTATATGTGTATCATTCTTTCTCATTTTCTAATATATATGTTTTAGGACTGCTATTTAAGCTCAATATATTATTTACTTAAGAAGGCTAATGAAATCCTATGATGTGCTTGATCATTTTAAAACTCCAGAACCTTTTAGAATTTGAATCAAGCACAGATCAGCTGCAGAAAAGTGTACTATGCTGCAGGAGAAGGTTGAGACATTTTGGGGACGTTTTGTGCCATTATTCTGAGTCACCTTGGAATAATTCCTAACCGCTGTGACTCCAAGCTGACTGCCGCTGCTGTCCTGCATGAAAATGGTGTTACACACTCTGCAGGCAGTGAGTATGAAATACTCAAAAAGGTTGATTTTTTTCAGAGGGGTTTTTCTTGTGTAACACAGTTAGGGACGCACAGATCGAACTGTCAATCAAGAAAATTCCAATATCTCAACTTAACACTGAGATTACTCAAAGAAATTGAAACTGATCCGATAGCAGTGCTCTTTTTTTTTTACCCACATTTAAAATATGAATACATCACTGCGTGGAACTCGTGGGGAACATTTTTATGTAAAGTAACATGAGGTCAAGGATTGCTGTGGCATTACAAACTTGATAGTAATTTATCAGAGAATTTTACAACAACT